CCCTTTGTGTTCATCATTTTGGTTCATTACTGGAAAATGGTGGTTCTGGCCAAAGGGGGAATCTACATTTTAATTCATATGCAACTTCAAATTTTAGAGCCACAACAATGTGTACCTTTAAAATACCACAAAAACACAGCATTAATAGTTTCAAGGATATGAACTGTGAGAACCTGAATTGACTTGGGTCCAAAAAGAAGCAGGTGAACTAGAGAAATAGAGACAGAGCCAACCTTCTTTGTGTCAGAACACCTTTATATCATGGAAACCTCCCCTTTCCAAGGCCACTTTCTCCCTTTGAAATGACCCTGTCTCTGAATGCCACAGCCACCACCATCTACCTTCAGATCTTCCCTAAACCTCAGGACACTGAACTTGAGGTAGGCTAGATTTAGTCTCTAGTGGTAGATGGGATTATTTTTTAAAATGTTTTTACTCCTTTCTGCCCTGTGAACTTACAGTGAACAAAAATAAGATATGATTTCTCTGCAAACAATGAGTGAGAGGCATAGTTGCTTATGATTGTAAGCCACTGAATTTTTAGGGTCACTTGTTATACAGTATTATTGTGGTCAGAACTGACTAACACACTCCTCAAAGGGAGAAAGAAGTGGGATTTGTCACTGGTCCCACAGAAAGACTTTAATTCTCATTACAAGAAAAGAGCTCACTGTGGTGGCGAGTGCCTGGAAAGGAGAGAAGACCTGCCCAAACTGGTAGCACTTGTGCATGTTGATGTCTCCAAAGCGACTTCGCCGCTCCTTCCAGTCGGCCAGTCTCTTCTCCACTTTCATGTCCATGAACTGTTGGAAAGGGCCCTGCTTGGGCAGACGAGTCATATGTACCTGCAGAGGAGCCAGACAGCAGATGGTTACCAAATACACAACTCACTCCAAGACAAGTGTGCTTTCTAAAGCAGGCAGTTCTTGTACATAACTCTTATTAGTTGGCCTTCCATTTCCCTTTCTCTGCCTTCTGTTGCCTTGGGAGGTAGACTTTGCAGCCAACACTCAAACATAGTCGATTGAAAGTCAGGCACTGAGTTCTAGTGGTGACTGTGCTACTGACTAGAACCCTGGACTCATCACTCACCTCTCTAGTAGATGATTATTATTATTATTTAACTTACTAGAGGGAGTTTGCACAAATTAGAGGGAGAGAGAGAAAGAGAGAGGGAGAAAGAGAAGGAAAGTGAGAAAGCAATGGGGATGGTCATGCCATAATCCCTTCTCCTCCATTCCTCCTTTTGGGATTTTGGGCACCTATGCATATGTGCCTAGCTTGTTTTTCCAAGCTGCTGTACCCAGGCCTTGAACTGCACAGTTGGCCATTTGGAATCCAGCCCCCTTAACCACCATGCCACTGGCTGGCACCACAGTGGATTATTGAGGATGAGCTTTCTACATCTGTGATTTATATAAAAATGGAATGTCCGGATTGCCATGGGTTGGAAGTTATCCTTCCTGGAGGCAGAATATGATGGGCGATGGAGGGTCCTAGCTTGAAATTCTCGTCTTGCCTCTATTAGAAATGGAAGAGCAAAGAAATCTCACTTGCAACCCACTAGTAGGGACACAATGGAGGGTACCCTGTAAATTCTCCAAACCAGGGACTCTCCCTTAATAAAGCCCTTCCTGCCCAGGCCAAGGCCTATGCGTCCTTTGCTGATGGGCAGATCCTGCTGGGTACCTGCAACTCCGGCAGCTGCAGGCCTTGTCTTGCAACTGTTTTGACACTTAGTTTCCACTAGTGTTCCTGGGTCTTAACCACCTCACCCTCACCTAGCTTCTCCCTTCTTACCTAGCCCCTCTGGACTGACAACAGAGTTCCATATCTGCATATCAGTCATCAGTGATGCCCAACCTAGTGACCAGGGACTCTTCCCAGGCACCCTGGCCCCTCTTGTTTGCAAAGGAGGCTCAACAAATGCTGTTTCCATCCACATCTGTTTTCTTTTACTCCCCACAGGGATATGGCTGGCAACCGCAGTGGGGGCAGATGGATTTTGGCTGCTGGTAGCTGAGCGTACCTTCCTTTGTGGCTGGGACACCTGGGAGGGTGGGAGTGTGTTGAGGTGTGGGCAGTTGGACACGCCGCAGGGACCTCATTGCAATTAGGGAGGCCGGCCATTTCCTGCCTCCCACACAGCAGGAAACAAAGATCTGTGTGCTGCTTTATTCCAGCACTGACTGACAAGATGCTGGATGAACACTGAGATGGCAGCTCTGGAAGCAGGTGGGAGACAGAAGAGCTGATGGAAACCAGAGGCCACCAGGGGTTTGAGAAACAAATATCTCACTGAGATCCGGCCACGCAAAAGCAAAGACTTTCCCAGGGTCTTTTTGCCACCTTCTTTAACAGCAGGGTTAAGCTCACCTAAGTAGCATCAGGGTGGCAACTCTGTTTCCAGAAAGTAGTTTCCAGAGTCCACCCTGCAGCTCGATGCCAGTGGGCCTCAGAAGTGGGGAGACCATCTAACCACTCTGGTTTGGGCCAGAGCTGACCTACTTGCAGAGAAAAACAAAACAGACCTCCATCCTGGTCTCCTCTAACTCTGTTCTCCCCTTGATTTTTCATGATGCCTTTCTTTTTTCTTGTTTTTGGAGAGGTTTTTGCTATAGGGCGCATGCGCTCACCAGAAAGACAGAGAGAGACAGAGAGACAGAAAGCAAGAAATCACCCCCCAGGGGGGATGGCCATGCTGTAATCCCTTCTCCTCTATTCTCCTCTTAGAATTTGGGCACGCACACACACGTGCCCAGTGTGAGTTTAAGCCACCGGGTTCAGGACTCGAACCACGGTCGACTACATGGGAGTCCAGCGACATAGCCATTACGCCAACTGCTGGTCCCCATGATGCCTTTCTTTAGGACAGTTGAAACGAACATCACAGTCATCATCACCATTGCCATAGTTTAATACATACATGCATCTCTTTCTCTGCCTGGATCACCTTCCCTCTCCATTGCCCTCCTGCTGTGCCTTGCCTCACTCCTAGTCATCTTTCAGGACACTGGTTCTGACTCCCGATAAACTGTCACCCCCACTGCAGGCTTTTATGGCCCCCCAGTCAGAGTGAGCTCCTCCTCCCCTGGACTTCCACACCACGTACCCCCAGGGTCTGTGTCCTCAACCTCTTGACTTATTGTCTCTCTGTCTGACTGTGTCCCAGATTAGACTCTCAGGCCTTTGAGAGCAGGCCAGCTCTATTCATCTACATGGGTTATCCTTCTACATAGATTACATGTCATGTGGAAAGTACTTGATAGAAGCTCGTCCCCTGAGGGAATGATTAGGTTTTAAAGGAGGACATTTCTGGATTTGAAAACAATAGGGGGAAAGCATTAGATGAACACCGAGCTTTAATAAAACATCACTTTCACACAAAGGAAAATGAGCTGATTAACTACAAGGCAAAGGATCAGCAGTTGGAGACTCCTAACATCTTACAGAGTGGACACGTGGCAGAAGCTCAGAGGATGAGGTGGGAAGGATCATTGGGAACATCAGAAAACCATCCAGTTTTGAGGATTTCTTCTTTTTTTTTTTTTCCCTTTAAGGTGAGGTGCACAATGCATGATGATGTGGTTCCAACGTTTCCTCACTCTCCCTGCACTGGTCCTACATGGTGACAGGGAGGTGGAGGGGTAGGAATGGGGACAGTGGTGAAGAGAAACCACTTACTCCTGCTCTATGGGTCTTTGACACTCACAATGCCCTACTAGCACAGGTTACCCATGCACGGGGCACATTCTCACTTCTCAGTCTGCAAAGAACAGGGAGGAGAAAGGGAGCCTTGAAAGACTTACGTCGTGTATTTGGATGCTCTTTGTTATTGGAGGAGGCAATTCCCAGCTTCGTCCCAAAGTTTTGGTGCTGCTCAGATTCGAGGAGATTAATGGTGGATACACAGGGCCCAGGGAGATCGGCAGCTTCCAGTCTGTTCCAAGGAAGCAGGGAGAGAAATGCCACTATACTCTGGGATCATGTTATGACACTCACTCCTTCCCCAGCCGTACCGGGGTGGATTTCTCTCCGCCTGACCTCACAGTAAAACAAGGAATCATTGCATGAACGAGAAGGAAGCAGACACTCTGCCCAGAGCCAAGAATGAAAGCTCTGAGATAATCTGCATCTATGTGATTCATAGTAAGTTTTTCTGTAATCTCCGAGAATGCAATAAGGCCTGGTGGGAGATTCTCTTTGCAGATGCATTATTGCTAAGTCATTCTGCCAATGCCACATGCGTTGTATTGATTCTTATGGTGGAAGTTTAGGTGAAGAGAAAACCAGGAACTCCTACGTGGTTGTTTACATAGGTTAATTAAAGAGTCCATTATGTGACTCTCTCATTTTTCTGCATGTGTGCAGGGTTATTCTTTACCCGTAGTGTAAAAGTCGACAAACTTACTCCCAAAAGGGCTGGGCGATAAATATTCCAGTCTTTTAGGACATGCGTTTCTGTTGCAATTGTCCGATAGAACTGTCACACCGCAAAAGTAGCCACAGGCAATGTGCAAGTGAGTAGGCATGGCCGCGTTTCGATAGACTTTACATATGAATGACTAAAAATTGGCTTTCTTATGATTTCCATGTGCCACAAAATCTTTGGATTTACGTTTTAGCCATTTCAAAATGGAAAACTCGGATTGGCTCCATAGCCTATTGATGAAGGGAGCTGGTTCCGACATGAATGACTGCAATTTGAATTCAGGTCAAGTGTCATGAAAACCATGGCAGTCAGGTGTGTACGTGTGCCCCAAGTCCCAACAGGTTGGAGAAATAAAGAAGAAGAGGCGTGACCATCTTACTGCAGGGGTGGGGTGGGGTGGTGGTGGTGATTTCTCACCTCTCTCTCTCTGCCTTTCTCTCTCTCTCTCATGCCCTCTGATAATAATAATAAAAAAAGCCAGTTTTAGTTCAAAATCCATTAAAAATAAGTGGCCATACTCTGTTGACCCCTGAGTGCCTCCCTCAATCCACACCCTATTGCAAGGAGACAAGTTCTGGTTTCCAGAATAGAAGGGAGCAGTCTACAGTTTTCTCAGTGATCTGGAAAACCTTTGTTCAGACTTGATACCAGGCATGAGATCCATTCTTCAAACAACTAATCCCAGGTTTGCTTCCCTAATTCAGTGTCAACTCTGGGCCTCCAAGGGACCTTGGCGTCTTCCAGCTCATGTGCTAGACTTTACATGGGATCACATTTACAACAACGCAGGGATACAGGGAATACTTTTCTACTAAAAAGAAAAAGAAGTAAAGAAAGAAAGAAAGAAAGAAAGAAAGAAAGAAAGAAAGAAAGAAAGAAAGAAAAAGATCGTAACTTCTAGAGTAAATGATTCATCATCATTTTCCCTAATCACTGTGATTCCCCCCTCAATGTCCTCTAACTCCCTGCATATTTTCCCACGTGTGCACCAAGGGGCAAATGATGGCTAGTTCTCACCTCTGGGTGCACTTCCATGTTTTCCTCTACTGGGGCAGCCAAGAACATAGGTGATGCTCATGCGCCTCTCTCTGGGTGGAAGGAGCTGATGTTATGGAGACCCATGAGCCATTTGCTCATGTAGTTCCTGAAGGCCTCCAGCAGTCTGAGATAAAACTCTGTTCTAAACAGTACTTAGAGAATAAAATAAGTTCAACATAACGATTTCCCCAGGATGCCAGAGTAGGCATATAAGAAGGAGCTTAAAATGATTCTTGCCGGGGTCTGCCAAAATGCTTAATTTTGAGGTGATGGTAGGATTCTGGTATTTCAATTTTTTTTAATGGTAGAGTTTACACATAATAGACACTCAATAAATGTTTACTAAATAAGTGAAGGGAGAGGTTTTGGAGAATAATTTGTCTAGGTAGGAATTCTGATTTCTTTTCAGCTAAACTACCTCTTGGGTTGCAGTTCAGGTCTCTGTAGAAACATGGGGTATTCTAGGGGGGAAGTTCCCCTTTGGATACCAGGCAAACAAAATCGAGATTTAATTTTACAACATAAGAGTACACATTGCTCTCTGTTGCGAATGGCTGCCAGTGGCTCAGCGTTATCTTAAAAGAGGGATCCAGTGTCCCTGGGCTTTGCCAAAGCCTCCTCAGTGTCTGCTCTCTGCTGCATTTGCAATCAGTGCTGCTGGCAGTGGGGACAGGGGACATTCTTTCAGCATCTAGTAGAGGTCAGCCTCAACAGCACAGAGTGTGTTCCTGGATTGTGGAGATCACTCCTTTGTATGGGAGAAGGAACTGGGAGATTAGAAGGAGTCAGGGAAGAGGAGGCAGGGGCTCTGTCACCCTTTTCCCTTGTGAGAGAACCAGAGCACTTTGGCAATCTTTAAGTTCCGGTCCTTAGTGGCAATCTGGTGGGGTGGGGGTTGGGTAGCAGGGGAAGAAGGAGGGAAGGTTGCAAAGAAGCTGCTCTCTGGAAGTTATTAAACCCTGGAGGGAGATACACGTACTCATAAAAAACTGAGAAAAATTTAAAAAAGATTGTTTATAACCTCAAAATTAGTTCTATTCCCTTAATGCTGAAAACACTTCTCCTTTTGTACAGAAGGAGCATTTTTGCATTAGATTCCAAGCTCTTTAAGGTAAAGTTCAGGTTGTAGTGATCTTTGAATCTCCCACAGCAAGCTGGAAGCATGGCATATAGTAAACGCTTAATGCATGTAGGTGACAGAGGGACCATTGAATGAATGAGCAGGAAACACATGGAGCACCAGCAGCTTTCTTGGCTGCGTGAGAAATGGAATCTTTTCTCAGTTCCCTCCCAGCTGTCTCTACCCAAAGAGGGGCCGTATCTGTAAAAAAATAGACAGCAGCAGTCTGGACCTGGGAGAGTGACTTGCAAAAGTATAAAATGTGTTGAATTTCAATGTCATTGCTGAAAGTAAATAGAAAAAGCATTATCACTGTTCACGTCTCTTTGGCTTATCATGTCTCCAGCAGTTTCTTGTAAAAGAGAATTTCATTTTCAGACCACTGGGAAACTATCATGCTTTGGTTAGAGCAGCAATGCTTAACCTTGGCAGTAGCTTGGAGCCTCCTGAGAGGTTTTTAAAAGTCCCAGTGCATGGTGTGCCCTATGCCAATTGCATCTGCATTTTGGTGGGTGGTTTTACCTGGTAAATAAGCCCTCCAGGCAATGCAAACGTGGGCAGCAGAGGCTAAGACACCCTTGGGTTAGAATTTGAGTTTACTGGTGTTAGAGCCTTATCACCAAATAGCTGCTCCTTTGACTGCAATTTAGCAGCCAAACCAGGGGGTTTTTGAGGGTGGGAATAATAATTCTGTGGATGCCAGTATTTGATTGGAGTAACAAGCATTTTTTATTTTTGACAATGCCTCTAAACAATCAAGAAAACCCTAAGTCTTTATATCAAAGCGTTGTTTAGTTGCATTAAAGCTTTATTGCTCTTTGCCAACATTTGCAATGGGGAAAACTATGAGGGTTTGAGAAACATAATTTCTTTAGGAACAAGGTTTGCATTATGATTTTTTGAATTCCAGGCTCCTAGCATGGAGCCTTCCATGTAGAAGATGTTCCAAAATGCTAAAGTAATTATAGCAGCTGCTGTTTGCTGGGTACTTTATTGCTATATTCAGCTTTTCATTTAATCTTCAAAACAGCCAAACAAGACAGCTCTTAGCAGTATCTTAATTTTATAGGGTGTGGTAGGTGGAATTCTAAGATGGCCCCCAAATTCTGCCCCCTACTGCGTATGTCCTGTATAATCCTTTCTCTTGGATACGGGTTAGACCTATGACTATGATAAGCTGTCACTCCTATGATAATGTCACATCAAAGATGGAGGAATTTTGCAGAAGTAACTAAGGTCAGTTGACTTACGGTCATCAAGAAGGAGCTTATCTTGATGGGTCTGACCTAATCAAGTGAGTCCTTTAAAGGAGAATCTAGGGGTTAGAAATTCAAAGCCTGCTGGCCTTGAAGAAGCAAGACACCAGGAATTCTAAAGATGCAAGGAAATGGAGTTTGTCAATACACAGAGCCTAAGATAGGCTTTGAGCAGAGGACTCAGCTGAGTCATGCTCAGATTTCTGACCCACAGAAACTGTGACATAATAAACAGTGTTGTTTAAGCCACTAAATTTGTGGTGACTGGTTATGCAGCATTAGAGCACTAATACGTGGGTGAATAAATCATGATCCAAACAGGGTAAAGGAGCTGGTGGAGCTGTGGGGTCAAGTCCTGACATGGCTAACCCAGTGCTGTTTAACCATGACACCACTATCAGTTTAAAAATATGGCTTGTTTGCACTAGCTCACTGGTTTTTCTTTGCGCTATAAACTGGGACAAAACTAAGGCTGACTCCAGATCTTGCTTCTTGGTGAAATGAAATGGATTAGAAGCAGGAGGTGTCAGCATCTCATATGTGGTTTCTACGCTGACATGGTGGGGGACCAAGGACAGAGGTGTAGCAAGGGTGTCTTTTTCAGACCCATACTCCAAGCTGTTGATACACATGTAAGTCATATGCAAGGGAAAGATTTGGGAAGACGTTTTACTCAGGATGGGGAGTGCAAAGTCTTGTTTACTGAACAACAAAGAAGCCTGGGGAAAGGAAGAGACACAGCAGTGCACATGATAACACCTATTTGCTTTGCTCCATTTGAGAGGGCACTGGCCTACTTGTCTGATCAGAGCCGGAATTTAGACCATCGTAATGATTGTAGTTGCCCTTCTTTAAAGAAAAGCTATCCTTGGGCCAAATGGTGTCTCAGCAGTAACACTACTAGACCCGCCTAGGAAAGACTCTGGGTTCATATCCCAGGATCTCCCTGAGCACCCTGGGAATGCATGAGCATGCCCGTAATCTGGATTGGCTGGGACTGGGTTGTGAATCTTCATGTGAGGACTCTGTTGGGGATGCCCGTCTATCACTCTCTTTTTTGTGGAAGAAATAAATAAATACACTTCAGAGATAAA